TCCTGTTCTAAACCTGCCCCAACATCTGTGTCACCAGAGCTCGCATCCACCACCTCACCAACAAATCTTCCATCGTCATACCCCAACCCGAATCCACCTGCTCTGACCTCATTGTTTTCTCTATCCCTTAGGATCTTAGATGTCCATCCCAGAAATGCAGGCGACATTCTCTCAACGTCCCTTCTATAGAGCACCACTCGGTCCACGTAGAACACCTTAAAAAATAGATAAGAAAGACTACATTAAAAATACAACTACATTATAATGAAGTAAATTAGAGTTGTCAGAAAACATAACTCTTACCAACAAGTACAATAGAGGTCCAGTATAGTATTTTCTTTTCCCCTTCTCCCACTTCACTCTACTGTCAATCAATGATCGGTGCACATATTCACACCAGTTTAACTGCGCAATCCCATCCACATCCTCCAAGCTTTTCAACACCCAATTGTTTACGTACCCATGGCTCGGGCTATCAACCAAAACTGACACGACTAACAACACGAAAAGACAAATAAACCACACACCACCATCAGTATATTGCAGAACCTTTTCACTAAGCTCTAAAGGGGTGATCTTGTTGTATCTCCTTCCGATCTCTACCCTCAACTGATCCAGTATATCACACTTCTCACCTTTTTTTTTTTGCTGACTACCTTAGCACGCCCACACGGCAAACCCAAAACATGTCTAATATCATCCACCGTAACACGCACCTTCGTTCCATCTGCAAGTTCAATACTGCTACTCCTAGGATTAAATTTCTCTACCACCCAAAATCCTAGTTTCGCTGGAAGCTCTGTTAACTTGATCTTTAACATAGACCCAAACCCAATTCTCACAACTTCCCGCCTCTGAACTTCGTTCAGAGCTTCAACCACTTTTTGCAAAACGTTGGGAGAAGCTCTTGACTGAATTCGTAGGTACTTCTCCTTCAATTTGGTTATCCCCTCCCTCTTTCGTTTCTTTACTGTTGCAGCATTCTTCCTCGAAGCACTCGGTGAAGGGTCAGTTGATGTCTTCCGAGGTGGGTCATCAAATGCATCATCACTGTCAGTCTCCTCTTCTGCATTCCCGCCTTCATCTCCCCCAATCACTGCATCATCTCCAGACACATCTGAACCAGCATTATCATTCCCATTTGCACCTCCATCTTCCACAGAATCCTCGTCATCATCGACCATGTCGACATGCGCAGCGTGTACTTTTGGCCTTTTCATAATCTCTGCAAGCTGCAATCTACCGCTTCTTCGAATCGGTGAAGCCATTACAACAGATTTCTTGCTGCGCTTTGAACTTCTTTTCAAAGCAAGATCTGCAGCCCCAACAAAAAAAACCAAAAACAAAAACTCATAAACAAGGATACAATGCCAAATCACAACAAAAAACATAAAAATGCCAATGTGGTGTTTGTGTGGCCACCCAAACAACCATTCCACATCAAACAACAGCAAACTAGAATATCCAAACCATT